ACTGGTGGGACCGCATAGTGTTGCAGGTCTGGGATAATTCCCAGTGGCTGTGAAACTTTTGCATGCGTAAGGGCACTTTCATGGAACTTTGTGACTTGCTTTCCCCTGCTGTGAAGTGCAAGAATACCAAGATGAGAGAAGCCCTCACAGTTCACAAGTGAGTGGCGATAGCCCTCTGGAAGTTTGCAATGCCAGACAGCTACCTGTCAGTTGGGAATCAATTTGGAGTGGGCAAATCTATTGTGGGGGCTGCTGTGATCCAAGTAGCTAGCGCAGTCACTGATCTGCTGCTATAAAGGTTAGTGACTCTGGGAAATGTGCAGGTCATAGTGGATGGCTTTGCTGCAATGGGACTCCCTAACTGTGGTGGGGCGATAGATGGAACGCATATCCCTATCTTGGGACTGGACCACCTTGGCAGCCAGTACATAAAGCGCAAGCGGTACTTTTCAGTGGTGCTGCAAGCACTGGTGAATCACAAGGGACGTTTCACCCTTATCAGTGTGGGATGGCCGGGAAAGGTACATGACACTTGCATCTTCAGGAACTTTGGTCTGTTTGAACAGCTGCAGGAAGGGACTTACTTCCCAGACCAGAAAATAACTGTTGGGGATGTTGAAATGCCTATAGTTATCCTTAGGGACCCAGCCTACCCCTTAATGCCATGGCTCAGGAAGCCATAGGCAGGCACCCGGACAGTAGTAAGGAGCTGTTCAACTATAGGCTGAGCAAGTGCAGAATGGTGGTAGAATGTGCATTTGGACATTTAAAAGCGCGCTGGTGCAGTTTACTGAGTCGATTAGACCTCAGCAAAACCAATATTCCCATTGTTATTGCTGCTTGCTGTGTGCTCCACAATATCTGTGAGAGTAAGGGGGAGACATTTATGGTGGGGTGGGAGGTTGAGGCAAATTGGCTGGCCACTGATTACGCGCAGCCAGACACCAGGGCGTGCTGCACATCAGAGAAGCTTTGAAAATCATTTTCATGACTGGCCAGGCTACGGTGTGACAGTTCTGTTTGTTTCTCCTTGATGAAAACCTGCCCCCTTGGTTCACTCTACTTCCCTACAACTCTACTTCTCTACAACCGTCCTCCCCCCTTCGATCACCGCTTGCAGAGGCAATAAAGTCATTGTTGATTCTAAATCATGCATTCTTTATTAATTCATCACACAAATAGGGGGATAACTGCCAAGGTAGCCCTGGGGTGGGGGGAGGGGAGGAGGGAAGCACTGGGTGGGGTGGTGGATGAGGGGAGGAGGGAAGGACAAGGCCACACTGCACTTCAAAACTTATTGAATGCCAGCCTTCCGTTGGTTGGGTGCCCGGAGATGTGCCGCCCCCCCTTTCCCCCCCCCGGGTTCTTGGGCCTCTGGGTGAGGAGGCTATGCCCCCCCCCCCCCCCCCCCCCCCCCCCCCCCCCTTCTTCTTTTTCCTTCTTTTCTTCTTTCCCGGGGGGGGGAGGGGCCCCCCCCCCCCCGGGGGGGGGGGGGGCCCCCCCCCCCCCCCCCCCCCCCCCCCGGAACCCCCCCCCGGGGGGGGGGGGGGGGCCCCCCCCAGGGGGGGGGGGGAGGGGGGGGGCCCCCCCCCCCCCACCCAACCCCCCCCCGCCCGGCCGCGCGGCCCCCAACAAGCAAAAGAAAAACAAAAAAACCATAACAACCAAAAAAAAAAAAAAACACCCAAGCCGGCCCCCCCCCCCCCCCCCCCCGCCCCACGACCCCCAGCCGGGGGGGGGGGGGGGGGGGGAAAGAAAAAAACGGGGGGGGGGGGGGGGGGGGGCCCGGCGGGCCGCCCTCTCCCCCCCCCCCCCCCCCCCCCCCCCCCCCCCCCCCCCCCCCAACCCCCTCTCCGGGGGGACCCCCCCCCCCGGGGGGGGCGGAGAGGGGGGGGGGGGGGGGGGCCCCCCCCCCCCCCATTGTTTTGCTCTTTGGGTTTTTTGGGGGGGGGGCCGGGGCCCCTTAATTTTATGGGGCACGCGGGGCCGTTGTAGCCTCTGTCCATCATGTCCTTAGAGATTTTTTGCAAGTATTTTGGCATTTTGTCTTTTGGAACAGAGTTCTGATAGCACGGATTCGTCTTCCCATACAAGCGATCAGATCCACTACCTCCCGTTTGGTCCATGCTGGAGCTCTTTTGCGATTCTGGGACTGCATGGTCATCTGTGCTGATGAGCTTGCCACGCTGGCCAAACAGGAAATGAAATTCAAAAGTTCCGGGGCTTTTCCTGTGTACCTGTCTAGTGCATCTGAGTTGAAAGTGCTGTCCAGAGCAGTCACGCATGCTACCCCAAATTTGACCTGGCGATGTCGATTTCAGCACTAATCTCCTCGTCGGGGAGGAATACAGAAATCGATTTTAAGAGCCCTTTAAGTCAACAAAAATGGTTTCATCATGTGGACGGGTGTAGGATTAAATCTATCTAACCGTGCTAAATTCGACTTAAACTTGTAGTGTAGACCATGGCTATGGAAGTTTCATTTCTAAATAAATTATGAAATTATATGGAGTAAAAAAACTATTAGCCTAATTTTCAAAGGGGTCCTGGATGGGGGAGGGGGGACCTCTGAAGTTCTACAAGGAATTTTGTATTTGCAACTTTTTGCTCAGATATTTCTTTCTGCATTCATTTATGTGCCCACCCATACACAAAATATCTGATCAGAAACTTGTAGGTGTGTAAGTGATGGTATTGTTTAAGAGGCTGCTTTAGAAAATGTGGCCCATTATAATTAACTAATATTTAGGAGTTGACAAACCCATCAGAGCTGGGAAATTTAAAATGAGAGTCAACACTCTCCTCGGCTCCTCAGCGAGTCTTTAATGGAGTGTTAGTTTTACTTGTACATTTCCTGGCTTTGGGGGTTTAAAGTTGAATAGATATTTTTGAAAGATTATTTTTATTAGTACCTTTATTCAGTCAAAGTCCACTTAACCAAAACTGTTAGCTGAAATTAAATTGGCTGTACTGAGCACAGTTGGTCAGGATACAGGGTTTATCTGTCATCCAAAAGCTGTTGCTATTAAAAGCTGCTGATTAAACCACATCCTACAGGACAGTTGGCACAAATCTTTTTTTAATTTTTTTCTTTTCCTTGGTTATTGTTTGTTGTTGTCTCACAGATTCCACAAATCAATTGGTCTATGGTAGTGCAAGTCGTACTCTGGATGCCACTGCATGCAATGTGCTTGTGTTGCCACTAGCCCCTACTGCAGTAAATAAGAACAGTAAAATATTGTTATAGACTCTCTGTTTGAATATAAATGGACAGATCTTTACTGGTAACATTTTAGTGCCTATGTGACTTATTTTGACTTCACTTTTGAAAATGTGAGTTAGGCTCCTAAGTCACGTAAACATTTTTGAAAAGTTTACCCGACCACGATGGGCAGATGGAAGGTGCTTAGATACTACAGTAATGGTTAGCAATAAAAAACCTCAGGATATAGATAGGCAGCATACTCTCCGCTCTACCACTGTTGATAGCTGCTTATTTTGTCACCTGTTGAGAAGCATTAAGTGGAGCAAGACTTCTGTGACCGGAGGACAAACAATGTGTGGGATTTATAAAATAAAGCTAACAAAAAATGTGATCAAAGAGCTTTTGTGCTGCATCCCTTGGGATTGTGGCTTAGGGTAACAACTAGGATCTTAATACTGATGTGTGAGTTTTGTAGGTTTCAAAGTTTGTTAGGCTTCCTGTTCACCTTTAAATTGGAACCCTTGATGTTTATTTACAGTAACATTGTTGAGGATGAGAAATGCAACATATTTGTGTTTTAATCTTACATCTCCTTTGAAAACCCATTGGCTATGTGTGTTTTAATGTTTTTGATACTTTTAACTATTTTAAAAGTCAGTGCAAGCATCACAGTGCTGAAGAACAACCCTGCAATAACAAATGAATACACGCTAGCAAGCATGAACAAACATGGGGGGGAAATCTATAAAGAATCAGACATCGGTTTCAAATTTCCAAACAAGAACAAAGATTTAAAAAATATGAAAAATCCCTTTTATTGTTCTCTTTAAAATATGTTTTTCTTAATCTGTAATTAGCATGAATCATTTCTTGAGATAAAACACAAAAATGCATTTTGGGTGGATAATGGACAAATAATTGTGAGTTGGTATTTTCTCAGTGAAGTTCTGAATGGATAAATATTCATGTCATACAAACCATCTCCACAATTGGTAATAGTCCTCTTGTATCGTAACAGAGAAGCTAATGATTGAATGTGATAGGGAGACTTGTCTTAAAGTTGGTTCTTTGAGGCCAGGGTTGAAGCACATTGGCTAGGCAATGTGTGGGGAAGCTTATGTAAGGAGAAAGTGGAGGCTTGCTATGGGGCTTGGTTATGCTATCCCCATCCCCTCTTTTCCATCTCAGAGCCCCTTTAATGAGGGAGAAGATTTGAAACAGAGGAAAAATCCTTCCTAGTGGTAAAACTGGTCAATAGAATGTTGAGTCTTGAAGGCCTTAAGGGTTCCATGACTGTTGAACACAAGACAGGACAGCTGAAGCCACATGGGAATTTTTGTTTTTGTAGTGCATGGTATATGAAGCATACCAAATATGTAACAGTTCCCTTCTCAAGAGCCTTAGAGTCTAATGAGACAGCAAGTATCCTACAGCACAGTACCACACAGAGAGAGAATGGCAAGAAGAGAGCATTGGAGCTGGGATGCTGGCTACAAGGGTGAGGAGTGTCATCTCATTCTAAGTTCATGAAGAAAAACTAGAGAAATGAAGTGAAGGTCAGGAAGAAGAGGCAGTGAGCAGATTACATGGTTCCTGCTGTCTTCAGGGAGAAGTCACCAGAAGAGATTTAGAAAGACAGAGCAACAGGTGAAGAAGAAAGAATAAAGCCAATGCTGAATGCCAAAACTTACAAAAGAAAAGGGAAATGATTCTAAAGAAAGGATGGGAAAAGCCCCGAAATGAAGGGAAGAAGGACGGAAGTGAGAAAGCAGAGAAGGGAAGTAGGAAAAGTTTGAGGAGAGATGCAGAAAATGAAAGACCAGAGCAAACAAAGAGCAGAAGAAGAGAACCACAGGCAAAGCAGAAGACCCCTGTGGAGAAAGAAAGTGAATAATTTATACTGGGTAAATAATCCAGTAGTATAAGGGCTTGTTTAATTATGATATTGAATTGCTATTGAAAGAAAATTCATTTAATAATCTGAATTGCATTCGAATAATCTGCAAATAATATTTTCATATTTAAAATTGAGTCATAGTTAGTATTATGCATTATCAGCATGTATAAAGAGCCACCAGCATGCTCGGCTCTGTACAAGATGCAAAATAAAGCTAGTCCTTGCAGAATCTAAAATTCTGGGGTCTCTTGCTAACCCTTCCCCCCAAACTCATGATTCACAATGAGTGAACTAGTGGATACACAGGCATGTTAGCATAGCTGGGTATCAGGAAACACCCTGCACACATTGCAGTCCCCCTCCCCCCTTACAAACTTGTGCTGCATGGGGGATGTCTTCTGCTAAGCCAACCCCACTATGTCTAGGCACTGTATTAATACAAATAATAATAGTAGGTCTCCGATTAATGGCAAAATATCTCTATAATAAAGAGAGAACTTCCCTTCAGCTTAGTTGAACAGGGGAATGTTGTTTACCAGCCAGCATCATAACCTTCATGCTCCTTTTGAATTCAGAAATACAAGTAGTCCGATTTGGGAAATAGTGAGACATTTCCTTTACCTTTCTAGCCCATGGCATAATGAGTGGGATCCCATAGGGATCAGTTCTGGGTCCGGTTCTGTTCAGTATTTTCATCATTGATTTAGATAATGGTATGGAGAGTACACTTATAAAGTTTGTGGACGATACCAAACTGGGAGGGGTTGCAAGTGCTTTGGAGGATAGGATTAAAATTCAGAATGATCTGGACAAACTGGAGAAATGGTCTGAAATAAATAGAATGAAATTCAATAAGGACAAATGCAAAGTACTGCATTTAGGAAGGAACAATCATTTGCACACATACAAAATGGGAAATGACTGCCTAGAAGGAGTACTGCAGAAAGGGATCTGGGAGTCATAGTGGACCATAAACTAAATAAGAGTCAACAGTGTAACACTGTTGCAAAAAAAGCAAACATCATTCTGGGATGTACTGTATTAGCAGGAGTGTTATAAGTAAGACACAAGAAGTAATTCTTGCATTAATTAGGCCTCAACTGGAGTATTGTGTCCAGTTCTGGAGACCACATTTCAGGAAAGATGTGGACAAATTGGAGAAAGTCCAGAGAAGAGCAACAAAAATGATTAAAGGTCAAGAAAACATGACCTATGAGGGAAGATTGAAAAAAAATTGGTTTTTTTTTTTTTTTTAGTTTGGAAAAGAGAAGACTGAGAGGGGACAGAACAGTTTTCAAGTGTGTAAACAGTTGTTACAAGGAGGATGGAGAAAAATTGTTCTTCTTAACCTCTGACAAGAAGCAAAGGGCTTACATTGCAGGAGGGGAGGTTTAGGTTGGACATTAGGAAAAATTTCCTGTCAGGGCGGTTAAGCACTGGAATAAATTGCCTAGGGAGTTGGTGGAATCTCCATCATTGGAGATTTTTAAGAGCAGGTTAGACAAACACCTGTCAGGAATGGTCTAGATAATATAGTCCTGCCATGAGTGCAGGGGACTGGTCTCGATGACCCCTTGAGGTCCCTTCCAGTCCTATGATTCTATGGTCTCAAAGTGTACTAGAAATATTACCTTCATTTTAAGAATGGTCTTCATATTAAAGGATCCTCCGTGGACATCCACCAAAAATGCACTCTGTTCTGCCTCCATTGGTCTCTATCTGGAATGTATAAAATAAGACTGGGATAAAAGACCCTGCTGCCTGTTAATGCTCTAGGGTTCTTGGAGACATACAGCTAAATATGCTGTGGGGAGGCTCCAGAGTTAAAGGATTTGGGGAGGAGGTGTGAGGCAGGATTTCTCTCACCCTCCAGCGAAACTCCCACTGTTGCTGATATAGGGAGCAGTTTCATGGGCCGTGGCTCTCACAAATTACCAAGTACTTTGGCATCACTCTGTCTCCAAAATTCTAATGCTGCAGAGCTAGAAGATTGCAGTTGTCTAGCACATGGAAAAATGGATTTGAAAATGTGATTTTTGCAGCCTTGGAAAGCCACTGTTGCTTGATAGCCAAGATAAGTGGTCCATTGATATGCACTGGAAACATCTGCATCACGCTTCCATTTTACATTCTCCAGCCGTCCTATGAACTACTCCTCTTCTCCTTCACTTCATGCTTTCTTCTCTTCTTTTCCACTGGCTGTCCTTTCCGGGAAGCTGCATTCCTGTATCTTTGGATTACTATACTGACTGAAAATCCAGAAAAAAATGAACTGGAAAAAAAAAAGCCCCAAAACTAAAGGAACCCTAACTGCTAAGATTAACACCAGCCCTTTGAATTATGCAGTAGACCAGTTCATCCACCACTGAAATGTAACAACTGTGTATCAACACACAGGAACATTACACTCTGCATGGAGCTGTATCTTAAATCTGTTGGAAAAGAGTAGTTAGTGCAGAATTTAGTGTCCTGCTTAGTAAGCAGCATTTCTTTTTTGTGAGCATGTTAACCCTGCACTCTGTGACCTGCTCTGGCTACTGATTGGTTTCTGGGATAATTTTTAAGATGTTGGTTTTGAGCTATGAACCTCCGAATGGCCTGGGACCCACCTATCTATGAGATCATCTCTTTCTCCATGACACAGTGCTACAGCTGTGGTCAGTGGAGGCACGTGAGCTGAAGCCCCTTTAATATAAGAGAGTTGGGGCAGCTAGCAATGTTTCCTCCATTAAAGCCCTGGACCTTTGGTATTTGTTTCCTTCCCAGATCTGTAATAGCCCAAGTTTGTTAGCCTTCAGGATATTACTGCAAAGCCCACTTTTTCTGCCTTTGTCAAAGGGAGAGAGTGTTTCAGTAGGATTGGCTAGTGGTGAGGTGAGATGTTGGTGGGGATTGTGTGGGGAGGCAATTGATTTGTGTTATATTTCTATTGCCACTGTGTTATTTGAACTGGGATAATTATCAGGTTTGTTTGTTTATTTTAGTAAAGATAGTTAAGGGTGTCCAGAGCATCGGATGGACTCTCTTTCATTATAGTTCAGTAAAAATTTGAGTAAATACACAGTGGTCTAGGACAGGCAGTGAAGATAACCTGTCCAACTGAAACTGTAAGGGAAGTTTGGTGGGCAGAATATCATCCCTGGTGTTAGAATTAGGGCATTGGGACTAATGCCTCTTCTCCTGAGAAGAGTGTTAGGAACTGTAACATCACCACAAGGGTTAGGACCTAGATTTAATGTCTCATCTGAAAAAGGGCATTTGTAGCATAACCAAGCCCCATAGCAAGATGCTTGGATAATAATTTAGTCCTATGACAGGTCAAGAATCTTAATTCATAAATACCACTATTAGTTATTGATTTTATCTGATGAATAATGCATTTTTAAAGTTTACTCTCCAAAAAACTCTTGTTCCGGCTTCCATATTATGCACGACTGCAGAAGCTCAGAACACAGTCATTATTCCAAGGTTTGTATGGAAACCAGACTGAGACTTTTACTGACTTCAGCCCCTGATAATTAGATATTTTACCTGATATCAGCTAAATAGAAGATTTAACAAAGATCAGTAAAAGAAGGCAAAGAAAAGTTAACCACAAAAATGCTTGGTTTGGGTCATTTTAAAAACCAGATTTCACTTCACTCGGAGAAGCATTTGACAAAGAAAAACTGGTTTTGGACAGAGAAACACTGATCTTGCTGAGCATTCACAGCTGCCACTGAAGTCAGTTGGCATTGCAGATGTTCAGCATCTCTCAGGTTCAAGTCCATGGAGCAGAGGGGTTTGTCTTTCCCCCATTTTGATTTTATTGCTAAAGGATATCTGCATGAGAATAAGATGTTGGCACTCATGTGCTTCTGCTGTTTGTGCCTCACTTCAAGTTATTATCTCAGTTTGTGACAACATAGTTTTCGTGGAGATTATGATATTGATGAGGCTTATATATGACTCCACATGAGATGCAGTCAGAGCAAATGATTCTTAATAGAAGAAAGGCCCTGCTTTCAAGTAGTTCTCGCTATGACCTGCTCTACACTTAAGTTTTATTAGTATAACTGTCAAAGGTGTGATTTCTTTTTCAACTGAAATAGTTATGCTGATAAAAGCCTTAGTAGGATGTAGTTATATCACTATAAAGGTGATTTATTCCAGTATATCTTCTTCTGCTTCCTGAATCCAAATAAGCTGTACCCAGTATAAGCACTTTTTATATGGACTACATCCACATGGGGGGAGGAGGAGTTGTCATTGTAACTATACCAGCATAGTTAAAGCAGCAAAACTATCTAGTGTAGACAAGCCATAGTTATATGAAAGGAGGGAAGAACTAAACCAGAAAATATTCTGTATGGTAGAGTTGTTTCTAAAGATGTTTGTCAAAGGTTTCTTTTAACAGTTAGCTGCTCCATAATGGTCAGATTTTGGGGGTACAGTTATAATCCGAAAGTAGCTATAAAATGATGGGGTAGATTTAGTCTTTTCAGTCATTTCAGATCACTTTCGCTCCATTTATAAGTCAAAAGCATATTTTTTCTATCTGCAAGCCTTGCAAATTGTCCTTGGGATCTGAGAAGCAAGGTGGGTTCTTTCAAGGAGATGCATCTTCACTAGAAATACAGATTCTGCCATTAAAACTCGTTTATCAGCTTTGTCAATTATGAATAAGGCCAACTAGAATCCTTTCTACCATAGTTGTGATGGCTGGGCAGCATGGCTTGAAATGGTCTGGGTCATTTTTAAGGCTTACATCTTGTCCTCCAGAATCACCATTTTCTTAATTATGTCTCTAGCCTTTGTAGTTGGGGAGAACGCCTTGAAAATGTGAACCAAGTATAATTGATGCAGGGATGTATGCCTCAGTTTGCAGAGCCTGAAGCAACAGCTCTGAGAGCTGTGAAGTGCACCATTCATATTAATGGGGTATTAACTCAGATGTCCAGTTAAAATAATTTAAATGTCAACAGTGTTAACTTTCATTGCTGATTTACGGAGGTAGGTGATTTATATTATGATTTGCACAATCTGACATTTCATTTTGGTGTCACCTGTGGTGATTCTTGGGAGATGCTGCAATTTATTTCCCCCCTAATATGGCTCATGGAATCAAAAGGCTCCAGGGGAGTAACAGAGCCCAAGGATGGGCATCTAAACCTCTCTCCTCAACTAGCCCAAGCATTCCCACAGAAAAATGGAAGCCTGGTCTGCCCTTGTTGCAGTTGGTGTGGGACCAAGCATCATCCTTCCTGACTCTAGTAGCTGCTGCTACTCCCTCTGTTGGAGGCTGTCTGCAGACTCAGGCAGACTTCTCTATATTGTTTACACTTACTTCGTGTTTTCAAGTTTTCTTTGTAGCCATTAAGGCTACAAACAATTTTTTTTCACGCAAACTTGGATTCTGGAACCCAAGACACCTGTCTGTTGTGCCTATGCCTTAATCTGGCCCTGCTTGTAGGTGTATTTGAACCCCCCTGTGGGGGAGCCAAGCCTGAGAAGTCAAGCAGAGTCTCTCAGATTATATTTTGAACATTTGCACAATCTGCTCTGAATGATGTCTCATTTCAAGTGGGCAGAGCTTGGGAGAGTACTGCAACTCCAATTTGAAATCTGCAGGGTATTACCAACAGAAGTAAAGCCAAGGAGCAGATATCATTTTAAAGTACACAGAGTAAGAATAAATCATATTTATATAATTACTTTTCTGATTTTAGCAGCTCCTTGGATCCACAAATACAACCACATGCAGAATGTAGATCTGATCTGGTGTTGCTATCTAAACAGTTTTTTTAAATGCCAGTGTCTCCACCTAGAGTTCCACCCAGCACTTTGAATTTGTCCTTCTGGATTCTATTTCTTTTGAGGTTCAGAAGTAGTTGTCAAGTGGATGAGATGGTTTCAGCACTAAACATTTTCCTCACCTCTTTTTTTCTTCTTGAAGGGGCATAATCGACTTCTCCCTGACAAATATTTTACTTAATTTTGTCACATATAACAGCTGAGATGATTTATAACTGATGGAGATGAGAGAAAAAATACACACTTCTCTGACATTTGTTTACCTGATACCTTTGATTGCAATTTGTGTATAGCCATTATTATAATGAGGAGTCCGGTGGCACCTTAAAGACTAACAGATTTATCTGGCATAAGCTTTTGTGGGTAAACTCCATACATCTGAAGAAATGGTTTTTTTACTCCACGAAAGCTTACACCCAAATAAATCTGTTAGTCCTTAAGGCGCCACAGGATTCCTCGTTGTTTTTGTGGATACAGACTAACATGGCTACCTCTCTAATACGATGTCATTATTGTTTCCGCTGTAAAGTTAGCCTGTTATGTGAGTCTTCTATAGGCCCAATTCTGAAGATTTAAGCATCTGCTTAACTTTATACACTGGGTGAAATCCTGGTCTCACTGAAATCAATTGCAAAATTCCCACTGACTTCAGTGGGACCAGGATTTCACCCTGTGAGTTAGGCCCATTAATTTAAATGGGACTGCTCACTCTATAAGTGCATAAATTAAGGACATAAATCTTTGCAGGACTGGAACCTTCAAGGCACAAATGGGGTCCTCATTAAGATGCTACTAGCACTGTGTGGCCCTGATCATGACTGGGGCTTTATATACTTTTGTATAAATATTTAACCCTTTAAAAATAGGAATGTGATTGTAGAAACACAAAAACTGGCAGGGAGACCCAGATGCAGAGATAGTCGTGG